GGATGGATGGATGGATGGATGGAATCATCTCGTATCTGTATACGTGTTGCATGCACATGTGCGTGTGAGGGTGTGTGCGTGTGTGTTGGTTTGCCTGTTTTCTATATTTATGTTCATAGCTATGAACTTGTGTTATGATGTATTATGTGTAATCAAGTTGTAAGTATGGATATACATACTCTGCAGTGTTCTTTCAACAAAGTGCTAGACTGCATCCTTCTGCTCTGTTACAAGCACACACTGCTTGCCTACGTGCTTGCTTACCATGTTTAAGCATTGCGCCGTTATGGGACCCAGAAGCCACACGGACATAAACCATCGACACCCGGCCCGTGAAAGCTGGGATCTTCAAGCGTATCTTCTTCTAGACTAGGCTTGTTTGAGGTTCAGGCCGCCCCTAAACCCAAACCCTACACCCTAAACCCAAACGAGAGGGTCTGGGGTTTAGGATGCTAGGGCTTGGGTTGGGAAGGGACTGGGCTTGCCACGAGTTCACCACGTAGGCATCAAATGAGCGACACCTCAAAAGCCCAGCGAAGACACCAACATCTCCAAAACCTGAAACCCCGAATCAAGACCCTCCAAAGAAACACAACCCCACAGAACAAATCGGAACCAATCAGACATGAGTGGTGCCGAGTGGCAGGCAGCGCCCCTTTAAGGGCTCCCGTCAAGGTGGGGGCGGTATCCGTGGACTGCGTAGGTGCGAAAACCTCCTGGGTTGCGGGGGTAGGGCATTGAAATTCAAGATTTCGAGGGCACAGGCGGCTGTTGGGCTTTAAGGTTAGGGTTTAAGGTTTAGGGTTTAGGGTTTAGGGTTTAGGGTTTAGGGTGATAAGAGTCGTGCACTTAAAGGACTTATAAAAGTTTTGATCTTCGAGTTGCCCTTCGCGCCTACGACGATTTACGGACCAGATACACCAAACCCTAAACCCCAAGCCCTGAACTCCCTAAACCCTCAGGAACGTGGGTGGTTCATGGCAATGCCTCGGACCAGACTCATGTCCGGGAGTCGGTCGGGTTCTGTTGTTCTCTGAGTCTTCCCAGAAGTTTTCGAGGATTTCGAGCTTTCGGAAGTCTTAGGGGCTTCGGGGTAAGCCCTAAACTCCCAAACCCCAAACCCTAAACCGTTTCCTCCATCCTAAACCCACACACACACACACACACTAAAGCCCTGAAGACCAACACCTCTAACACCCCAACCATTCCGGGCTGAACTCTGACAGAACTCTTCTGCAGATCCCCTTGTAGAGCCGGCTTGGATTCCTTTTGCAACTCTCGTTTTACAACCTTGGTTACAACCCTTATAGAACCTTGGTGGAGCCCGTGTAGAACCTTTGAAGTATCTTTTTAGAACCTTGCGGAACCCTTCCGGAACTGTTTGGGCCTTTGGGTATCTTCGCAGAACTCCTTCGAGAAGCTTTTTGGATCCCTTTGTGCTCTTGTCTTGGAATCTTCGTAGAACCTTTGTGGAAGCCTTTGAGTATCTGCTCAGACCCTTTGTGGAACCCCTTAAACCCTAAACCCCAAACCCCAAACCCTAAACCCTAAACCCCAAACCCCAAGAGCGAAACGTGGGCTCCTGCAAGCTCTTGCAGGCGCTGCCCATGTAGATGTTCCTTTGCGGGTTTCAGGGTCTGGGTTTAGCGTTCAGGGGTCAGGGTGCCTATAGGGTCTGTAGGGTTTGGGGCTTTAGGACGTGGGGTCTATGTATAGGGTTGAGGGGGTTGTGGTGTTTCGGGGCTTCTTTCGGGATTAGGGATTTAAGCGTTTAGGGTTAGGGGGTTAGGGCTCAGGGTTTAGGGAGTATCGGGTTTAGGGTGGTAGAGTCTGGGGGCCTAGGATTGAAGGACTTAAAGACAAGTAGGCTTTGGGGTTTAGGGTTTAGGGTTTAAGGTTTAAGGTTTAGGGTTCAAGTGTCGGGGACCCGCCTTATCCCTAAATCCCGAGCCCTGAGCCCCATGCAGCTTCCGGGTTGCTTGCCGTCCTCTGGCATGAGCTTTCATTGGGAGCTAGGATTAGGGGGACCCTTGGGGATATAGACCCTCTCAATAAGGTCCCTTTTAAGAGAGCCAAAAGTAGGGTTCAGAAGCAATACTACCTATACATACGATAACACCGCCCACCGCAACGAGCCAGCCCTAAACCCTCAACTCTTCAATAGCAGACCCTAACCCCTAAACCCTAAACCCTACAAGCCCTAAACACCCCTGGACTAAACCCCTAAACACCCTTGACCCTAAACCCCAAATTTCTACTCATCTGCTCCCTGGAAGCCCACGATCCTGCACTCAACCCCATGAACACCAATTCCGAATCCAGAACCACAGCTCCGAACTTAGAAAAGCCTTTTGGGTTTTAGGGTTTAGGATTTGGGGTTTAGGTTTTAGGTTTCAGGGTTTGGGGTATAGGTTGGGTAGTGCCCCCATACAGTAACAGTCTATGATAGGGCTAGAACTCAGGGTTTTATATCTATATATCTATGTTAGAGGCATGATTGAACTGTCACTGAGTGCGGGCGGTATCCAAGGTACAGGGCTTGAGGTTTAGGGCTCAGGGGCTTACTCTGCTATAGCTGCAATGGGAAACCTTAAGAAATGGTATTATGAAAACTGCAGCATTCTGCAGATGGATCCCTCTTCCTCCACCTATATATAGTAAACCTTAAACCCTAAACCCTAGAATTGGAACATTGCAATCCTCATGCCCTTAAGATAAGTTCGAGGGGATCCCGGCACTAATCGTCCTAAACCCATGTTCCAACTTTCTGGGATTCACCACAATTAAACCCAAAGCCCTGAGCTCTAAACACCTAACCACAAGACACCTAACCGCAAGAAACTAAGAATGAACTCTATCCTGTCCAATTTTCAGGGGTTCACGGTCAGGAACTATACTACTTTCATACATACGTATACATGTGTGTATGTGTATGTATCTGCATGTCTTGTATACATGTTATATTTATTTATTTATTTAGTTATTTATTTA